AGTGGTCTAAAGCACCTACTTAGAACAAGCTTAGCAAAGCACAGGGACCGCGGTTCAATCCCCCAGCACCACATGCCAGCCAGCCCCACCCCCTGTCCCCCCACACAAATAAATAAAATTAAAAAATAATAATAATTAGCTATTCTTGTTTTGAAAATCAGTAATATATGTATCATTTTATGTTACTCTGTTTCTGTCTTTGTTTTCTATTTGGTTTTGCTTTGGTTTTTACTATCAAAATAAAATAAAACAATTCTTTTTATGTATTTAGTACAGGGTCTAAATACACTATACAGATTGGAATTATAGTGATCCTTCCTGTTTTCAGCCTCCCAAGCGCTGGGATTACAGGCGCACACCACCACACCCAGTCTCAGCTGCTGTCTCAGTGCAGCAAGCTGAGGATTGAACACCAGTCCTATGCTTTCCTAAGCAGGTGCATTAGTCCGCTGAGCTATCTGGCCTGCCCTAATAAATTAAAAAAATAAAATAAAATAGTACCTAGCTTAGAATAAGTACTCAGAAAATCTAAGCTATTAAAATAATCTATCATAAAGCAATGCTATGGGACGTTTACAATCAGTGAACTTTTCTGCACATAAATTTATAAGATCAGAACACCCACTTTATAGAGTTACTGTGAAAATCAAATAGATATTAAAATACTAGATATAAAGATCTAGTGTCTAAATCTTGTTTTTTGGGTTTTTTTTTTTTTCTGGAACTGGGGATTGAATTCAGGCCCTTGCGCTTGCCAGACAAACGCTTATTCTACTGAGCTATCTCCCCGGCCCCTGTGTCTAGAATGTTATCTAGATATGTAGATACTTAGAAAAGCATATACTGTTTCAGCTGGATGTGGTGGCACAAGCCTGTAACACCAGCAATCTGGAGGCTGAGGCAGGCAAACTGTCACAAATTTGAGGCCAGCCTGGGCTACATGGCAGCAAGACCTTATTTCAAGAAAAAAAGAGGGGGGCAGGAGCAGAGCAGAGCAAAACACATTTAAAAGACAAGCATTAATACATCACCATTCCTCGGGTAAAGTCCTGTCTTTTACATCACAAAGATTTTTTACATTGTAAACAAAAACCACTTTGACCTTAAGCACCATCCTTGTAACAACTGTTACATTAATACTTTTGGTGAAGCTGTCCTAAATGTCTCCTGTATCCCTGCAGAATGACGAGGAAAGAGAACACTGAACTGCATTCTGTTAGGAAGACACATTTGCTGTTTCGGTTCACTAGACTGAGGATGAATTTGGCTTATCCTACGGTAGTTCTGTACAAATATACAGCCAGGGCAGAATATCTAGCACTGAAGCACAGAAATTTAACTACATTTTGGGCACAGCTAACTTCTACTAATTGAATTATATTGAAATATGAAGAGAATGGCATTCAAAACCTTTTTTGTGTCAGTGTTCTGGCTGGGTTTTGAAAAAAAAAAACATTGGATAAGTCTTTTTTTTAAATTTAGGCATTCCAGTTTTCTGCTTATTCTTAAAATGATCAGGATTTTTTATTATATTGATACTATTCTGACTTTTTAAAAAGCCAAGAGGGGCGATCTCAATATATTCTTCTCGTTACCTAAACCAGACCCATTATGTGAAAAGCCGATACCTGCAGAACTGTTTCCACGTAAGCCAAGAATTTTAATGCACACAGAACTACAAAGTACATGAGCTGGGCATGGTGGCGCATGCCTTCAATCCCAGCACTTGGGAGGCCGAGGCAGGATCTCTGCAAGTTCAAGACCAGCCTGGGTTACAGAGTGAGTTCAAGGCCAGCCTGAATTACCTAGTGAGACCCTGTCTCAAAACAAACTAGTAGTACATGAGCATTTTCAATTATCTGAACATAGTTGGATATTCTAAATAGATTTCTCCCTTTTATTCTGAGGCAATGTTGGTGAACCACCACACAACTCACACCTTTTATCTACCCACCCCTGTTAATGCTTGGGGAAAAAAATCAATTATATTGTTTATAAATCACTTCACTATTTGGTAATTTATTTTTTAAAAAAGATGCCTGATCTGAATTCCTCAAACCAGCCAGGTGTGGTGGTACACACTTGTAATCCCAGCACTCAGGAGGCTGAGGCAGGAGGACCACTCCAAGTTCAATGTCAGCCTGGGAAAACAGTAAGCTCAAGGCCAGCCTGAACTGTATAATGAGACCCTGTCTCCAAAAGACTAATCAAAATATTAGTAACAATAATAATAACAACAATAATAATGATAAGATTCCTTGAGCCAGATTTCTTTTTCTAAGAGAGAAGTAAAACTAGATATCAAGAAAGATTATGACCATGTTTATGAATATTTAAATAGCCATCAGTTGTTTTTATGAATAAATCTAAAATATTAAAGTAGTATTTTACATAATTGCTTGAATTATGAATTATTAACAAAAGCAGACAAAAATAATTTTTGAACTATCAATATTAAAGAGCAAATGTAAAAATATATTCACTTCTTCATCTGCACATTGAAGCAGTAGGTACTGAGTTGATGCTAGACATAAAAAATAAAAGACGTATTTCCTGATCCTCTGGTGGGATTATTGTCTAGTGACAGAGTCACTGACCCATCCTGCAGTGCTAGAAGAACGTTTAACTCAGAGTAGAAGGAAAGACAAAGTATCAGGGAAAGCTTCCTGGGAAAGGTGGTACCTAAGCTGAGTCAAGTAAGATAGCTGAGAATGAGCAAGTGAAAGAACAATTATGTCAAGAATGCGGAGAAAAAGCACACAAGGGCTAAAGTTGGAATGTGGGGTATGCATGGGAAAACATTACGAGATAGGTGGGGAAAGGCACATGGCCACTGCATAAACAGTCAAGTCTGCGCACTAAGTACATTTCTCATTTTCCCTTACAATTTTAAGGACACCACTAATGCTCTATCAAAATACTCTTACTGACTGTGGTGCTTTAAGCTGAACCTTGCAGGCACAGCCCCCATCCATAAACACAGGTAATTCCTCAGCAAGCACTTAGATTTGCCATGAGTACCGGGATAGGGTGGTCAGTGACAAGATACCCACCTCCCACCCATGCCTAGCAAAGCCATCTATATTAACCTCGTATTTCACAATGAATTGATAGTCACTTTTAATTATGCATGTTGGTTTTTAGGAATAGAAATATAAAATATATGCAGTATTTCTCTATGTGACACAAATACAGATTTCAATTTCTATGGTTATTTAGCAAATACTCAGAACATGTTACTTACAATGGCTTGCTAAAAACAGAAGAAAAAGCTAAATGGAACATGATATAAATCATAGCTTCTACCTTTAATAATGTTGCTCATAACTCAATCTTGAGTCATCCTGAACACTGGAAAATACTTACACCCACAGAGACACTGGTGATGAAATTTACACAATTAAATCTGAGCACCCATAATCTCTGCCTTAAGATATGTGCAAACCCAGCAGATGAGTCACTCTGCCTTCGCTAATTCAATAATGTATTTAGCTCCAAGGGCAACAATCCCAGCAATTTCAGTCACAGGAAAAAACAATCAGCCTATGGAATCCTCAAAGTAGCTTTCAGTTTAGTGCTTTATGCTGCAATATAAAAACATGCGCGGCAAAAGCAAATATACTGTCCTTCAGCA